TGCCCCGCCTCCTGTATGAATCCGGGGGGGGGGGGCGTGAGCCTCTCTTCCCTAAAGAGCACCCTTGCCCCCTGCACCCTCTGCATCCACATGTACCCCAGCTCCCTGCCCTGGGCCCCACACCTCCAAGCTCCTGCCCTGACTCCTGGAGCCCCCCCACAACCTCCTGCCCCCCACCCCCTGCTCTTACATGTCTTACAGGTACTGTCGTATTGTGAACCCCCTGCCCTACCCCCCGTGTGCTCCTGGGACACACACGCCACTTTCATCTCTGAACGGCCCGAGAAGATGGTTTCTCGAAAAGCGACACTCTCGTGCAGCGGAAGGAGCAAAACCAACCCCAGAGCCAAGCTGCTCCTTGGCAGGGTTTGCAGGGGAGCAGAGCTCCCCCGCACAAGGCCAGGCCTGCCAGCGGGGTGCTGAGTCTGAGCATGCAGGAGGCCTGCAGCTGCAGCGAGCCGGGACAGCAACAGGAAGCAGAATGGGTAAAAGCCACAGCCGGGGGAGAAGCTGTCCTCTCTCGTGGCCTTGCTGGGGTGTGGTGGGCAGGTGCCGTGTAAATACACAGGGGTGCAGTGGGGCTAGAGGAGAGCAGGGGAGGAGAGCTACAGACTGGCTGCTGCGCCTTGGGGGCTGGGCTCCTTGTGGCTTTTTCACTTGCTTTCTGCTCACTTCCTGCACGTGAATAAGTGGTAGCAGCCTGGGCCTGGAGCCAGCCAGTGTTTTCAGCCCTATCCACCAGCTGATGAGGCCAGATGAAATTTAACCTCCTTTCTGCCTCCCTGCCAAATCCTCAGGGCATTGGCTGAGAAAAAGTGTTCCTTAAATTGTCTTCCTTATTTGCATCCCTGTAGCACCTAGGACCACCCTCCCCAGTCCCCTGTGCTCGGTGCTGTACGAACACAAAACCAAAGCCCAGGCCCTGCCCCAAGGAGCTGACAATCTCAGCATGAGAGCAGTGACAGCAGATGGATCCAGACAGCCCCATGGCGACGTACAAGGACCCAGTGTTGTTCTCTGCAATGCTGGAATAAACCTTCCTCTTCAGCTGGATTCCAGCCCTGCATAGAGCGAGGTCCCTGCATTGGTGTGACAGCAGCGGCCTCGCCTTTCCTGTCTTGTCTTCTGTGCCCCCGCCCTGCTCTTACCCTCCTCCTGCTCCTCTGGGGTCTGGTGGCTACTGGACCCACGGCGCGTTGCTGAACAGGGCACCTGGGACAATGGACAAGTGCTATCCTCCTTCGAGGTCCCCGCCAAGATTTACAGACTTTCATCTTATTGGCTGGAAAGAGCCCACATATCCATACATGCCATAAAGGCTCTTGGTTGAAAGGAATCTGCACATGTGCAATCCTATTGGTTGGGACAGTTGTTTGCATACTGCAACCCAATTGGCTGAAAAGAAAGGCGTCGTCAAACAAGAGCATTTTAGGGGCAGGCACAGAAGTCGGGAAGCTTTGCATACAAGTGTATAAGGTCGTGTCATTATTTCACTAAGAGAGGGTCTTTTCCTGTGCAGGAATCTGCCATAAAGAGACCACTCGGCGGGCGGGCTAGCAAGCGAGCCCTCTTTAGCACTTCTCTCTAGCCAAAGCTGGAAATTAAATTATGAAGTAAGCCATCTGGAAGTGGCAAACATGGGCAGAAATGCTGCCAGCGTGAGTTAGTTGCAACTTCCTGCAAAAGTCAGATGTAACTATCATCCGAGGCTCTCATCTGGCCTTGTGCTAACTTGGGAAAACATGCAACACTGGTGGAATTTCCTCTGGACTTGGAGTTGAGTCAGTTCCTCCTTTATTAGAGGAACTTCTGCGCTGTCAGAAGAAGCAGTTTCATCCAGTCCTCTGCCAAGTGCTGCACAGTTTAAAAAGAAATTAAACTGGAACATAACAAGAGGAAACTTTCTGATGTGCTGATATGCACCATGTTAATGGAGCTGATTCATGATTTTACTCTGAAGTCCGACTCAGCAGCTTGTGTTTAGCTCACTGGTTTTACTGAAAAAAACCGCACAGTGAAGTTTCCCTGAAATTTGGGCAACTTTAGAATTCCTGAAATGCCCCGGTAGGAGTTCAGTTTAACTCACAACAGAATAGTCTTTGACGTTTTGTGTTTCCATTTCTAATATAAGAGAAGAACGGAAATTGGACGTGATACACTGTTGCTTTGTGGCTTGTGTTATCATTTCAATCGGTGTGAAGTGAAGGTAAAATGCCACCCCTTCAGGGTACATCTACACAGCCACATTTTTTTCAAAACAACTAGCGTTATTTTGAAATGACTTAGTCTGTGTCTACGCAGCAGGCAGTTATTTTGAAATAATGTTGAAATACTGTCAAGCTTGGAGGACTTCTTACTCCGACTCTTGTAGCCCTCATTGGATGCAGAGTAAGGGTATGTCTACACTAGCCCCTACTTCTAACTAGGGTGGTAATGTAGGCAACCAGAGTTGCAAATGAAGCCCGGGATTTGAATTTCCCGGGCTTTGTTTGCATATTGCCGGGCGCCGCCATTTTTAAATGTCCGCTAGTGCGGACTCCGTGCCCCACGGCTACACGCGGCACAGACTAGGTAGTTCGGACTAGGCTTCCTAGTCCGAACCACTGTTACTCCTAGGAAGCCTACTCTGAACTATCTAGTTCGTGCCGTATGTAGCCGCGGGGCACGGAGTCCAAACTAGCGGACATTTAAAAATCCCGGGTTTCATTTGCAACTCCGGTTGCCTACATTACCACCCTAGTTCGAACTAGGGGCTAGTGTAGACATACCCTAAGGGAAGTCGGAGGAAGAGCGCTCGATTTCGGAATAAGTGCTGTGTAGACGCTCCCAATTTTGAAGGAAGCTTTTTCAAAATAAGCTGTGCAGTTGACGTAACTCAATTGGCTCAGTTCATTCTGAGTTAAGCCCTGCTGCGCAGACGCACCCTCAGAGGATGGAGGAGTTGCTGTGACCTTAACAATCCCTCCCTGCCAAATGTCAAAGGGTTCACAGGTAGACCAGTGCCCTACATCCAGCGCTCCTCTTCTGTGGTCTGAGTCCATCGATGATGTCATGGAAGGGCTCCAATAAACACGCCTGCCGCACTAATGCTGGTTGTCATTGCGTGATATGTGGGGGATGATATTCAAGGCTATGCACTGAAAATACCTTCCCAAGGCTGTCACCGACCAAAGAGACAAACAGGTTTCTTCCAGCCAAGAGGTAGCAGGCGCAGCTCGGCCGCAATGTAAATTGAGCTGTCTAATGTCAACACCCTGGAAGCTCTATTTACGTGTGACATCGCCTAGGGGATGGGCTGTCAAGAAGGAGACAAGCTATTGGAGAATGACCCAGAGTGGGTTGCCTTGTCTCTGAGGTAGACAATGAACTTTGGAGACTATAAGTGGAAGGCGGGAAGACCCCTTTTGTCTGGCACCAGAGGCAAGCAAATGGTCAGAGCATATGTAGCCATGACAACAGGGTAGCTACAGCAGGGTGAGATGACCGTCCTTACAAGGCTACCTGCTACGTTTAGTCATTAGAACACACGTCATGCTGTTGTTTTAGATGTAACCACCCCGTTTCCATTGTCCTTACTCACCAGCGCTACCGATTGACGCTTCTGAGCACTTGCACTGTACATATCTCTCGGTCCCGCGGTGTTACACAGGAGTTGGTCCCGAGTCGAGCTGTTCCAGCTGTCTACGCTGTTCCTTTTGGGACCGCACACCTGGGGCGACCATGAGTGTGTGCCTGACCAGGAGGCCACATGCCCTAGGGGACCAGCATACGTGTACAGTTAAGGTACACGGCGAAGGAAGGGCTGACCCAGCCCAGAGGAGAAGGCTTGGGACCAAGACTAGAGCTGTCAGGGGGCTGGCACCAGCAAGCCTCTCTTGCAGCAGGGGTGTAACACGAAGCTCGCACACGGGAGACGCCCTGAAATGAATGACACTGGTCGTCCTTTCAATATTAAAAATAAATAAATAACATTTCTCTGAACAAAAGAGGCAAAACATTTCCAGTGGCCACCGTACAACGCTCATAAATATGTCAGGTTCTTGCTGCTGCCCCGGCCGCGCTGGCGGGAGACAGGAGAGGGACGGGGCGTCTCGGGCCCCAGGACTAGTTAGTGTCCACGCAGACATGCGGCACGGTGCTGTTCAGCTTACTGCCTCCCTCCCGTTCTCCGCGCAGGCTTTGTCTGTGCTCCCGCCGGGGAGAGACCGTCCCTGTACTGCGTGGGCAGGGCTGGGAGAGGCAGCGTGGGAATCGCCCGGAACGCCCTGGCCAGCGGCTGTGCTTGACGGAGGCTGGCCCGTGCGTGGGGAGGAAGGCAGCAGTCGTCTCTGCCCTGCCGTGCTGAGGTCTCCCCCGGCGGCCAGCACGACGAGCACGCTGGCAAGGTGCTGGCAATAGCTTATCGGAGCAGCAGCTCCCGGAGGGACACGCTGCATGAGGTAGGTGAGAACAAAGCGTCCGAGCGCAGCCGGCGAGGCTGGCACCTCCCTTCCGGCTCCACGGCCTCGCAGCTCCTCTCCCGCCTGGCCTAGAGGCGACTGTCCTTGCAGCCCGCCCCCAGCAGACTCAGGGGCTCCATTTCCAGGTGGAGCCGCTCCCCGGAGTGCAGGCTGGAGATGAGAGGCAGGCTGGCCCGCAGGGTCGCGCTGAAGAGG